CACATACACATACAGGCGCACACAGCCACACGCAGACACATAGACACACATGCACGTAGGCACATACAGGCACTTGTGCTTTTGGATCTTCCCCGAGTCAAAGTAGCCACAAAAAATGGGTATCTTCAATGTCTTCAAGACGTTGAGATAACCATAGCAGGATAACTAAACATCAACACCAAAGAGCACTTTCAGGACTGTCAAAAAGGGGCAGAAGTGGTTTTAATTTGCATTTCCCTAATGACCAATGATGATGAGCATTTTGTCATGTATTTATTTGCCATTTGCATTTCTTCATCTGAGAATTGCGTATTCATCTCAGATGCCCATTTTTGGATTGGATCTTTAAATTTTGGAGGTCTGAGTTTTTTTTTTTTTTTTAATTCTTTATATGTTTTAGACAAGAGTCCCTTGTCTGAGAGAGAGTTCACTAAAATCTTTTCCCAGTTTGTGGGTTTTCTTTTAACTATGCTGGAGATTTCTTTTGACATGCAGAAACTTTTTAATAAGAAATGGTCCCAGTTATTGATTCTGGGAAGTATTTCCTATGCGGTTTGAGTCCTGTTCATGAATTCTTTACCTCCTCCTATGTCTCCAAGGTTTCTACCTAATTTGTCTTCCAATAGATTTAGTGTTTCTGTTTTAATATTCAGATCTTTGACCCAGTTAGATTTTAATTTAGTACATTGTGACACTTGGGTTGTTTCCAAGATCTGGCGATTACAAATTGTGCTGCTATAAACATAGGTGCACATATATCACTGTGGTATGATGCTTTCCGTTCTTCTGGGAATATGCCTAGAAGTGGAATAGCTGGAATGAATGGGATTTCCAATCCCAACTTTTTGAGAAATCTCCAGACAGATCTCCACAAAGGCTGTACCAGTCTACACTCCCACCAACAGTGCAAGAGAGTTCCTTTTTCCCCACAGCCTCTCCAGCATTTGTTGTTGGTTTTCTTGATCCTGGCCATTCTTTCAGAAGTGAGATGGTATCTCAGTGTGGTTTTAATTTGCATTTCTCTGTGTTTAGGGGTGTTAAATAGCTGGCTATATTAATGTTTTTGGATCATTGAACACAGCTGTTTGCAGTCTCCCTGTTTGAATGTCCACCTTGTATTCTTTGATACTGTGATTTGAGCAACTATTTTCAAGATGATAATATGTAATCTATTAACAGGTGATTTCTTACTGTTACTTTTTTTTTTGTAGTTCTGTATTATGTGTACCCTTACACCGCTTTGTTTTGTTTTGTGTTTTTCTCTTTTTCCTCTTAAATAAAATAAATTAAAAAGGGGGGGGGGAGTGCGGGAACACACGTTTGGACAGAGGGGAGGCATTTTGTGGGGGAGGGTTAATGGGAATATGTCTTTTAAAGTTTTTAAACAGACACCGTATGTTTTGATCTAGTTCTTCATTTTATTTATGTATTCATTTATTTTGCACCACCAGGGACCTAACATTGGGCTGGTGAATCTTGGTATAGCACTCTGTCCCTAAGCTTCATCCTCAGTCCCCTAATGGCCTGTCTTGTATTTTCTCTCTTTTTTATTTTTCGTTTTTATTGCATTTCTTGTATGTATGATTGTCTTTTACTCTGCATTTATTATTCTGACCAATGTGTGTTGCTGTGTAGGTGTCTGTAAGAGTGCATGCACGGGTACCTAATGTGAATACACCCAGCAAACTCTGCCCCTGAGCTCAATCCCTGGGCTTCATTACTTTTCCTTTTGAAATGGTGTCTTAGGGTTACTCAGACTGACCTGAAATTATCCCTCCACCTTGGGCTCCTGACAAGTGGCTCTTCAGGGCTGCACAAACATGCCTTGATGCCTGGGACATTCCTTATTTTGCCTTTTTTGGGGGTTGGGGAAGACTTCACCTTCAGTTTTCTGCTTTCTGCCTGTCACTATGTTAAATATTCTAATTTTCTTTTGCTTGTCTCTTCCTGTTCCTTTGTCTTTGAATTAACTTGTTTTTACCATCTCTTAATACAATTTACTTGGTATTACTTCTACCCGATGGTTCCTGCAGCAGTTGCTCCATTGTAGATGTGGTAGATGGTCCATGGAGCTCAGTGCTCTACCTGATTCTCCTGTGTGCTGCTCTTCCTGAAATCTGTTTTGCATTTCAATACAGAGCTGAGATTCAGTGTGGCTCCTCAAGCCTGAACTACAGTCCCAACCCAACCAGAAGTCAACTCACACTGCTCCCCACACAATCTGGCCCCACTCAAACACCAACAAATGCTTAATTCCAAGATGAGAAGGAAAGAAATCCTTGAGCACAATACCCCACATCACTGAGGTACAGCATATTGGGGCCTGGAAACCCTTTCTGGACACCACTCCAACAGGGTCCATCCACATCTTTGGAGGCTTTAGAAGAATTCCTCACACACTCTTCAGGGCATATTTTAGAGTAAGGGCTGGTGGAAAAACTACTGGGGGATGGTTGATAGAATCTCTTCTCGATAGAATAAGTTTGAGCCATTGGAAAAATTCTGCTCTTGAGCTCTCTTGCAGCACAGTGGAACCTTTGTAACCACAGAAGCTGTCAAAATGCACCATTGCCCAACAAAACACAGCAGGGAATATATACTGAAAACTCCAATTAGAAATACATTAAAGATGTTACAATGATCTAGAATCAATAGGCATATTGGCAAAAGGTAGTTCTTTGGTAAAAATATCATCACGTAAAATAGAAGGAATATCCAACCCAATAGATACAAAAAACTCCAAATAGAAATCTAAAAAGTATTTACAAAATTAAACAAATGGTCCCTTGATGATTCCATTCTCAGGGTCTTCCAGGGACCCAGGGGGTTGTGGCTTACAAAAGAAGTTAAATATGGTCAGAGAGAAAGCATGAAAAGTTTCCAAGGCAACAGGTACCTCGTGGGAGTCACCTCAATGAAAGAAACTGAGACTAGCTAGTATTGGGCCAAAGAAACCAGCACTGCTAGAGAACAAAGTGAACCACGACTTAGAGACAGACTGCTGAGAGAAGCTATGGCAGACACTACATAGCTACTACAGTTTGCCATCTTCATTAGAGAATGTGTTGTGTATAGAAGATTTTCTCAGCATGGAAGAGAGGACCCTTCACAGGAATCTAGATCTAGATTGATCCTGCAACCCTAAGCCTGAGAACAAGGACAGGAAACATGGCTTGAGAAGATGAAGTTTCTGGTCTTCCCCCAATATGATAATCTACTTGTGAAAGGCATGAATCTTCTCAGAGAATGACCTGTACCTGGGAAGGATTTCACACAGCAGCTCTGGCTCCAGCGTTAGCAATAAAACCTGCTACTCAGAATTTTGTGCTGCCTTTGCTGAAGCTCCCTCCTCCTTGATCCCACCTACCAGCCCTCCCTGCTCTGCAGAGCTGTCCCCTCTGAGGGTGTCCCTCTTTTCACCTCTTGAAGGCTGCTCAAGTCACTGCCACTCTGAGGGCTGACTTTCTGAGACTGGCTGAAGTGAGGCCTCAAATCCCCCTTACCCCATTCAGATTCTGCACCAGGTCACCTCAGGACCTGTCCCTGGAAGTCCTACCAATTCTACAGAATTTCCACAGTAACTTCCTGTCACATTCCACTCTGTGTTACAAGCAGCGTGAATCACTACATGATAGTTTACCTTTTTTAATTCTTTTTCACCTGCAGGCGTGGGATTTATAATGAATCCCATAAACTCAAGAAGCTTTTCAGTTTGATTTGAGGTCAAATCACAGAAGGTAGAACAGAAAACTCACTTGATAATTACTAACTAAATGAGTAGAAGAGAAGTTTTAATAGCCCTATTAGATTTTTAAAAATGATTTTGTTGTAGTTATCCAAATATGACAATAAAAGAGAAATAGAATATCTTCTCATGCCCACAAAAATCTTACTACGATTTCTAAAATATATAATTAAAATTAAACACAGAATATGCTATTATATGTGACAGTTACACATTTTAACTACTGCAAGTCAAATAAATCCCAAAATTCCCTCTCCTTTCTGCACTCACCAAAAACTTAATGTAATGATCCTAGCCCTTTGGAATGAGTCACTTCAGAAGCTGCTTCAGGAAGGGCCAACAACACATTGAGGCTTATTTTGTAGCATTATAATATAAATTCTAGCAACCTATTGCTTGCTGATTAAAATGACTCTGGACTGGTTTCTTCAGCTCAACTTCAGCATATGCAGAGATGGGGACGGCTATCACAAAGAGAATGAGAGATGCGAAAGTAGTTGGAAATGTCTTCCCTAATTTGGAACTTGAGGACCTAAAGAGACTCCATCATCCTGTAATGATTTGATTAGTTCTATAATATGCAATAAGTATAGAAATTGGGTGAAGTTAGGGACAACTATTTGTAAGAGGCTAGAGACAGTTGGATAAGGTAGATCTCCGGTGGACTTGCTTTGAAATCTGTGTTTCTTTAAATTGTTTTTTATTTTTTTTTTTTAATGTTCTGTTCTGTTTTGATATGATTAACCTTATCCTCTTAGAGATGTAAAACAAATAGGTGGGACTGATAATCATATTACGGAGCTTTTGTTCGGCCATAGAGCAGAATGGTTTGTAGGGTCACTTTTTTGAATGTCATTCTAAATACTTTAATTCTATAACCTAAACAGCCATTTTGAAGAAGACAATTTGTAACTTATCAACTGGCAATTTCTTACCTTTTGTTTGTCTGTAATTTAGTATTATTTTTCTACCCTTTTTTTCTTTAATCTCCATGTATTTTTTTTTCGTTTCCTTTTCTTTAAATAAAAAAAAAAAAAAAAAAAAAAAAAAAAAAAAAAAAAAAAAAAAAAAAAAAAAAGAGAAGTTCTCAATTTGAGGGTCAGGACTTAGGTACTCTTAAAAGAGTCACACAAAGACAACTAAAAGTGATGAATTCTCTTCACATTTTAACAATTGCAGCTAATGCACAATCTGATTAAAAATGATAGTTTTTGTAAATTTCTAACCTGAGCGAGAATTCTTGACCTTTCTTCAATTATTTCTTTAGATTTGCCAGAGTTAGCCTCCTCAACGCCCCCTTCACCTCTTTGTTCCTGAGGGTGTAGATGAGGGGGTTCAGGAGCGGGGTGACAATGTTATAGAAGAGGGTGAGGAACTTGCCCTGGTCCTGAGAGGAGCTGTTCCCCGGTTGCATGTACATGTAGATGATGTTTCCGTAGAAGAGCGACACCACTGTGAGGTGAGAGCCACATGTGTTGAAGGCCTTTTGCTTTCCTGATGCTGACCGCATCTGCATCACAGCCCTCACAATGCAGCCATAGGAGACCAGAATGAAAAGCAAGGGTGACAGCACAATGCCCACAGCCAGGACAAACACAGCACCTTCTATGGGCACCGTGTTGATGCAAGCCATGCGGATCAGGGCTGGCATCTCACACAGGTAGTGGTCCACATGGCGGTGCCCACAGCGCGGCAGAAGCAGGGTCACTGGAGACATGGCCAGGGAGTTGGCCACCCCACAGCCCCAGACCATTAAGACCAGGCGCAGGCAGAGCCTGGGGCCCATGATCACCATGTAGTGCAGAGGCTTGCAGATGGCCACGAGCCGATCATAGGCCATGGCAGCTAGGAGCAGGCACTCTACACCTCCCAGAGCCTGGAACAGGAAGAGCTGGAGGGCACAGCCTGCAAAGCTGATGGTCTTGTCTGGGCCATGCAGGTTGTAGAGCAGCTGAGGGATGGAGCTGGTTGTGAAGCTGAGGTCCAGGAAGGACAGGTGGGTGAGGAAGTAGTACATGGGGGTGTGGAGGTGGGGGTCCAGCCGGGACACCAGGATGATGGTGGTGTTGCCCAGCAAGGTCAGGAGATAGGCCAGCAGGATGACAACGAAGAGGATGCTCTCCACGTGGGGGTGGGAAGAGAAGCCCAGCAGAATGAAAGTTTCTTGGGAGCTGTTATTGCTTTCAACCATCTCTAGTGTACCTGAGGAAGACAGCAGTAGTACTGGTGACAATGAGATGTGACAGAAGCAGTTAATTACTATTAGTCAGGAATTTTCTCTGTGTGTGTGTGTGTGTGTGTGTGTGTGTGTGTGTGTGTGTGCACATGCTGGAAACCAAACCCAGGACCATCACACAGAGCAGCATCTCTAGCCTCCCCTCAAGTTTTTAAAATAGGAGCCAAGGTCTCTTTTAGTCAGGAAGAGGCCCAGGCAGAGTTTGTCATGGAGCTCCTCCTTCCTCAGCAGCCACAGAGTATGGATTACAGGCAAGCCCCACCTTGGAATGTCTTACTTAGTCATCTGACATTTTTTCTCAATGAACCCCGACAGTAATATCCTGGAATTGGAAAATGAGTATAACAATAAATTGCCAACTCATAAAAAAGTAAACTGAAGTACATTTGTGTCAGGCAAGTTGACATGCATAGGAAGAGGCAGCATTTTTGACCCAGGAGTTGTGGAAAATCTCCTCACCCCAAGCACTTATGTGCTGACTCCACCTCCAGTAGAGCAAGAGGGAAATTCTACATGATGCATCCTGGTCTCCTCTGGAACCCCAGTTTCTGGATCCCACCAAAACATCAGAAACACAAAATGCCATCTAAAAATAATCAGCTAAGATGATATCTATAAAATACGAAATACTGTTGTTCTTTCAACAGTGAAGAGTTGACCCTTATGGCTCCACTGGAATGTGGATACCTTTTCAGAATACATACTGGGAAAGTTTTAAAAAATTTGCCACAACTTAATACCACTCATGGATAAACTATTTTAGAAATAGCAAATCTCAGAAACAATTAGGTATATAATGAATGCAAAAAATATATATAGAGGATTATACATTGTGTGGTAAACCACCATGAAAACATCAATCTATTAGGAAACATTGTCATGTAGTTCAGCCTGGCGGTGAGTTCCTTTAATCATAGCACTGTATGAGGCTCAAGTCGAACAAGTACAAGTCTGATCCCAGCCTGGGATATGGGGAGATGTTTTTTCATACTAAAATAGTTTTAAAAATTAGCTGAGGATATAGCTCTGTGCAAAAATGTTACATAAAATCTACACATACACACACACACACAACACAAACACACACACACACACACATACACACACACACAAACACACACACACAGTTTATCAAAATTTACATGCATAACATGCCAAAAGTTGTACCAAGTACAGTAGAAAGAAACTTAACCAATGTGACGATGGAGTATGAAATCATAAATAGAGAATTTACTGTGGAATATTCTATGCTAGAAAATGCCGATATCACCACTTCCTCCTATTTCTATAACCTGGTTATTTCAGTATATGTTCAAAATATCCTGGGATGGCTAGGGACCTAACTCAGTATATACCTACCTGGCAAACACAAGGTCATGAGTTCAATTTCTGCATCACACACACACACACACACACACACACACACACACACACACACACACACGAGCAAAATATCCTGAGATGTTAATAACCTGAGATCTTCATCTTAGGCAGGACTTTCTCCTGAGCCTAGAGAAAAGGTCACTAACACTGATACCCACACTCTGTGAGCTCCTCCTGGCTCCTGATAAGAAAATTTTCCCTATTCTGTCAGGTATGGAAAACATTGGTTTGCACTGGCAGCCAAAGGTATTTATCAAAAGTTTCACATTTTTAAGAACATAATAACTCAGACTTGAGTCCACTGAGCTTGTCACTTTTAATTGGAACAAATGCTATCTCTAAAAGTCAGGGCCCACCTTCCTGCATTGTGCCCAACAGGAAGCTTGGCCCTTTCTCCATGCTGTGCTTCCTAGGGCTCAGAGTGTGTTCTGCCACTGCCCAAGTCCTGGCCCTCTGAGCTGTGCAGGCAGAAGTTCTCACACCAGGAAGCCTTCCTCCCCAGGCTGTGCCATGGACTCATCCTCCTCACCAGTTCCCTCCTGCTGTTAGAGAAGCTGGGTCAGGGGTAGGTACACAGCCTCTACCATGTCTGCACCCTGCAAAGGAGGATCTGCTCAGTGATGTGACCTCTCTGTCCTTCTTCCCCCTGGAAGAGAGGTCAAGAGAGGCGTCAATAGAGAGTTTTGCAGAGCAGATGCTGCAGGGAACTGGATACAGCAACAGCGGGGAAAGCAGCCCCAGGGGCCCCAAGGAAGACCCTTTCTTCCAGGCTGGAAGGAAGGAGCTGTGTGTGTGTGTAAGAACCTGGATGCATGCATGTGTTGGGGACTGCAGGTTCAGAACTGTGGTGTCCAAGGTCACAGTGCCTGTCCCTGTGGAGCCCAGGAGCAAACACTGGAGAGCAGTGGTCCAGATCTCTCAGCCCCCTGAGAGGGCCACACAGCCCTTATTAGAGGGTTGGGAATCATAGTATTCAGATTCTTAACTTACTTCAAAATTTTTAAAGTAAATATTAAAATTAGTTTACGTTTAAATGAAAATTTTAGATGCAAATTAGGTTATGGTCCTAGAGATGAAAGAATTTAAAACTCAGAAAAAGCATGAAAAGAATAACAGCCTGCTAGGGGAGGAACCTGTATTTTCTGAGTAAGGTGAAGTCCTGGATCATCCCAGGCACAAACTGATGAGGTTCCTGTTCCCCACCACATGCCCTTAACACACCCTGCATGCCATGCCTATACTTGTAGGCATTTGTGTGGATATCAGTGATATAAATTTACATCTCACATTTTGTTTCCTTACTTCAGCCTGTCAGATTGCATCCTGTGTCGCTTTCTGGTGCTAGGGCTCAAACCCAAGTCCCATGCAGACCACACAGCACCCTAGCCCAAGCTATCCCCATATCTGGGCTGCTTGGTTATTTACTAAAGTAAATGAGGTGTGCAAATCTCTGAGGTGACCTGAAACCCAGAACTGGACTTACCATAACCACCTGCATGATGATGACCACTGAAAACGAGACACAGGAAATTTGGACCTAGTAGGGGTCTCGGCAGGGTTTGGCAGTGTCTGTGCCCTTCTTGCTGCCCAGCTGGGCCACCAGGGGGTAGCACATGTGGAACAGTCCAAGCCTTCTGCAGGGCTCCAGGGCTTCTCTCTGACAGCCTGCAGTATTTGTGCCAAGGCCTTGGTTGCAGCTGGGAGCAATGTGCCCTCCTGGGGAGACCTGAGAGAGAAGGAAGAGAATCAAGGCGGTCACCGCTGCCCAAGGAGCTCTGGGGACTCTATGACACCACATGGGTCATTAGTGGGGGTGGTTGTGAGCCATAGATGGCTGCACCACACCTCAAACACAGGATCTGCGTGGAAAATGAACCCAGAATTCATCCCCTGATGCAGGCAGGACTCAGTTCCTTGGCTCCCCAGATCCAGATCCCCATCTCTGCTTCAAAACCACCTAACTTCATGGACCTCATGCTTCCCTGCCACTCCCGGATGGATGCACAGATCACAGGGGAGCTGGGGCAACTTAGGTTCCGAGAGCAGGGGCGTTCCTGGGACAAGTCTCAGCCTGTGCAAGCTATGGCCCTGAGTTCTCAGAAAGGTGGAATTGTGTACATAGTTCACAAGAAATGCTAGTGATAAATATCACAGTTCAACTGTCCAAGCCCATTAATATTTGAGAATTAAACCTGGATTGGACACATGACCCAGTTTTTTTTTTATAATTAGTTTACATTAATGTAGACCTAAACTACATTTAATGTGGAATTACTACACTGGAATAGTAGTTTTTATGTCTGTCTATTGTATGTCCTGATTCTCAGGAAATACTGAATTTTTTAATTTCTGGCTTTTGGCATTAAAATATTGTGTCCACACTGGCTTATCTGGAAATATAGAGCCTAAGACCAATTACAGGTAAAGAGAGTAGAATGATAATTTTAAGTATTTGTCAATATTTGCTTTCATTATCACATGCAAAGTCCGATTCTAAAAACATGGATGTTGTCCACATGAGCCCTGGATCCCGAGATGGAGTCTGAATATTTGGTGGAGACAAATAGAGAGGTACATCTGAGACTCAGTGGGAATTAGTGCAAAGAACATGAAGCCCTCTCATTCAGGGGAAAACTCTCCACTACACTGTGCTAATGATCTGTGCCTTCAGTAATCACTCTTCTGCTCCCAGAGCCCTTCTTACTCACTAACCTGAATCAAGTGAGTGAGATTTGATCTTTGCAATGGTAATTGGTCCTGTCAGCTGCAGCAGCCTTCCACTAATAAATGAGTGTCATATTTAATAACTATTTCCTAAGGAGAAAAGTAAAACCTTAGTTCAACATGCAACAGTGCCAGACTAATGCTCAGCATCCCATATCTATCTGGTACATCTTCCAATTTAGTGGACATTACTCATTAGATTGTCACATATTTCTCTGCCTTATGTAGTTCCAATTTGTTTGTATTCTCAATGTGCATCCTTTGTCTGTCAATACATAAAATTTCATATCTTTATTAAGTGGTTTATAAGGTTACACTCAGAAAAATGCAAGATATTATTGTGAATTATGCATCAAAAATAAATACCTGATCAAAGTGGAAACCATGGTACTGGAAGTGGATTGCTAAGGTCATCGGGGGGAGTAGGCTCAGTGTCACTCAAGCCATGGTCACCATAGAGCTGACCCAGAGCTCTGTGACAGCAGCTGAGGACTGGAGATGTGCACATCTTTCTCATCTGTGCTCCCATGAGTTCCACTGCAGCTCAGTTTGAAATTTTTGTGCTGCAAATCTGCACCTGCTGAGTTTGCTCAGCTCCAACCATGGTGAGATATAGGGAGAAAACAGGGGCAGGATAATTCTCTGAAATTTGCCCTTCAAGAAGAAGGAAGGAAAGAGAGAAAAAAGGAAGGAATCAAGTAAGGAAGGGAAGAAAGGATGGAGGGAGAGAGGAAGGAGCTTCCTGCTCAGAGTTCATTTGGAAAATCGCCCCTGGTTTCTGTGCAGAGTGGTGATCCTTCTTGCTCATCTGACAGCAGACACAGTTAACACTGTTCCTTTTCATTTTA